ATTGTCTAATTTGGCATTAAAGTCTCCGTACAATAATTTGTGATACGTGTAAATATCTAATAACAATGCAAATCATATGAGAAATACATTTATAAATTAACCAGTAAACCTTTGTAGAGCTCGTTTAAAGGATAATTTAGATTTAACATCACTGGATTATAAAAACAAGGTTGCTTTGCCAACAGATTAAATTTTCGTAGAATTCAAGTTTAAAAATTGTACTTTATTGCTAGGTGAGTTCGAATGAAATATTTGTTAAGTATTTTTAATAGTTAATAGACAAGAAAATACACCTATTTTATACAGGGTGCTTATTTCGAAGTGTGTACATAGTGTATACGGGTTGATTGTCTAATTTGGCATTAAAGTCTCCTTACAATAATTTGTGATGCACTTAATATCTAATAACAATATAAATTATACGAGAAATACATTTATAAATTAACCAGTAAACCTTTATAAAGCCCGTTTAAAAGGATAATTTAGATTTAACATCACTGGATTATAAGAGCAAGGTTGTTTTGCCAACTAATTAAATTTTCCTAGAATTCGAATTGAAAAATTACACTTTATTTGCTAGATGAATTTGAATGAAATATTTGCTATTTTTAATAGTTAATATACAAGAAAATACACCTATTTTATACAGGGTGCTTATTTTGAAGTGTGTACATAGTGTATACTGGTTGATTGTCTAATTTGGCATTAAAGTCTCCTTACAATAATTTCCGATGCGCTTAAAAATCTAATAACAATGAAAATCATTTGAGAAATACATTTATAAATCAACCAGTGAACCTTTGTAGAGCCCATTTAAAATGATAATTTAGATTTAACGTGACTGAATTATAAGAACAAGGTTGTTTTGTCAGATTAAATTTTCGTAGAATTCGAATTTAAAAATTGTACTTCATTGCTAAATGAATTTTAATGAAATAATATACAAGAAAAGACACACAAGATTTTATGCAGGGTGCTTATTTCGAATGTGTACATAGTGTATATCGGGTTGGTTGTCTAATTTGGCATTAAAGTCTTCTTACAATAATTTTAACCGATTAAATTTTCGTAGAATTCAAATTGAAAAATTGTACTTTATTGCTATATTTCTAATTTTTAGTAGCTGATAGACAAAAAAACACCTACTTTATACAGGGGGTGCTTATTTCGAAGTGTGTACATAGTGTTGATTGTGTAATCTAGCATTAAAGTCTCCTTACAATTTATACTGATACGCGTTTAAATTTAATAACAAATGCAAGCAGCTACGGAAAATATATTTTTATATCAAGTAGCAGACCTTTGGAAAGTATATTTAAAAGGATAATTTACGATTTAACGTTACTGGATCTGAAAAACGTCTGTGAACATTTCAAAAATGTCCGTTCTATTAAGCAGATATTATCGATGGAACGGGGAGAACGAGTGTGAGGGCAAACCATAGGCGGGATAGGGTAATGACTTGCAGCAGCATGCGACCTAACTTAGTAATAAATATAATTTTTTTCTCGAGGCCGTATACAGATCAGATGAGAAGTAATACCGCAAACTCACGCGAGGCACCCACAGTATTCCTTATATTTAAATTTAGCCAGGTCCATAAACAACTCCGTATACAAAATCAGAGCATATGCCATTGAGAACGGACCAAAATAAATCCGGGAAAATTATGCAGACCGTCTGGTAACCAAACGGGCGCTATTCACCAGATTTTTTACTGTATTGCTATTGTATGCCGTAATATATAGTACAGGAATACAAACGCTATAAATTTCGACGTCTGTTCGGCTTCCAAAAAGATTCGCATATATTTTACGCTTATTTCTATAACAACCGTTTCACTTTGTGTATTTTTCCTTGAACTATTTTTTCGCACAACGTGGGAGATGGTTTACTACATTTTATGTCAGAAATGTAGGTAACGCATACAAACTGGTCGGTGTTATTAATACTTTCTTACACACATGGTGTAAAAAGAAAACACGGGACATCCCCACACGAAAAAATGCCTCGTTAAAAAAACTATAACTATTATACACTGTAAAAAAATTTCACTCAATTTTACTCAATAAAGTATCAATTTCTGCCCACATCCGATTGAGTAAGATTTTCACACTATTAGTATGAGCAGGTACAACTAAAATTTTGTGAGTGAAACTATTGCAACGGAAGTGAGTGAATTTTGCTCAAATCCGAATTTCTTCTAACTATCAAGTGAGTGACTTTTGACTCTATTCTGAGTATGTAAAACCAATTAAGAGTTGACTTTATCTCTAAATTTAACTATTATTAAGTAATTTTTTCCTCAGACTTGTTTTATATTCTCTTTAAACTTTAATTTAAATATTGTATCAAAGTCATAAACTATTAAGCTGCCACAATGGTTTCTACACAGATCTGTTTTAGTTCTATTTACTAAATATTTAGATTCAGAATACATTTTAGATTTTCGCAAAATAACAAAAAGTAAAAATAAAGGTTGATATACGAGTATAAAAATGAAAAATAAAAAATGGCCCGCTAAAATAAATCGTAAAACAATTGAATTTTATTATCTTTTTATATTTTTGACCTTGATCTTTTTTTTGTATAAATATTATCTGCTATGCGTCTCTTGAAACGAATTTTTACGCAGATTTCACAAAATTGAAAAACATGTTACATTTAAAAAATATAAGTTTGAGTTATACACTGTAAGAAAATTTCACTCAAATTTCACTCAATTTTACTCAATAGTGTATGAATACAACTGAGTGAAACTATTGCATCAGAAATGAGTGAGTTTTACTCAAACCCGAGTTACTGCTAACTGCTAACTATCAATTGAGCGACTTTTGACTCTATTTTGAGTATATAAAACCAATCTAGAGTTGACTTTTTCTCTAATATGATTTAAATTTAACTATTATTGAGTCATTTTTTACTCAGACTTGGTTTTTAATTAAATAAATATTGAGTGCAAAAATAAATCACTCATAAATAATTAATTAAGGGATACAGTGTTGAAATTAATTCACTTCGTGCAGGCCTGCTCCTGTCTTGGCTGAGACCCACTAGCTGAGACCCGCCGCCGCCGGCTAAGGCCTGTTCGCCTAGCGATCACGCTTTTCTGGAGTATCAACTGTGGTCGAGATTACACAAGCAATATGTAAGTGGTGCCATCTTCACGGCGCTATTCAAATTACTCGAAATTTACTCGAAATTAATATTCATTTAAACTCGGTAATGAGGACATTTACTCTGATTTAGGTACAAGTGCACCAAATACGAGTTTACGTGAAGAATTTATTTAAGGAGTACCTATATTTGAGTGAAATTACTCAGTTCTAGTTTAATTATGATCATAAATGAGTAAAATGATCCAAATGCCCAATGTTGAGTGAAAATGTACTCAATAATTTCACTCAAAGGATTTACTCCCAACCTTTATTGCTTTCACTCACACCGACTTTTTTACAGTGTAACTGGAAACCCGGACGTTATAGAAAAATATAACGAAAAACAAAAGAGTATTTACTAAATTAAAACATATCAACAAATAACAAAATTACTCAGCCTTATACCAAAACAACCATCTTTTTTGAAATTTCAGAAAACCCTGCAAGTGTCGAATTTGGTCCACCCTATACAGTATGTTTTTAAGTTCTATGTGATTACTTTAGAAAATTGTTCTTTGGATCATTTTACACTAAAAAGCTTACTAAATTAAGCGTCTAAAGCAAGATACAGGGTGTTAAAGTTTTAAGAAAATATCACATTTATTCAAATACCTCTGAAGATACTTGAAGTAGGTTGATGAAACGTGGACTAATAGTTAATTACAATACAAAAATCAACGACTGGCAGAAACGGTCATAGAGAAACCTAAAATTTCAATGTTACTGAATTTTGTGGAAAGTCGATAAGGTCGTTTAATTCCTGACCTTATTTCTAAGAAAACGGTATTTTTTTTCAATTAATTCGAGAAATTCGTCTATTTTGAGTTATTTTTTTAAATTTAAAATAAGTTTATGGCACAACTGAAAAAACTTAAAATATCTTTAAAACTATTCAATGGTTTCACAAAAAATATACGAATATTTTGTTTCAAATATAATTTTAAATATATATAATAGGGTGGCCTAAAAAAAAACGAATATTTTTTTTCGTGTCTCTTGTGAAAATATGTTAGTTTATCATGTTTAAGAGCCCCCTCAAAAAATCAGCTCAAGATTTTTAAAAATTTCCAAAATCGTCAAAAATGGAATTTTTTTTTCTCGTTATTTTCTAGGTTGAAAAAAATCTCGATTCTAAAAATTTCAAATCGATATTTTAATCTCTAAAGGTCAATCATAATTATTTTAACTTTAAAAGTAGTGTACCTAAAATGTTTTCGAGCGACCTCTAAAAATAAATATCAACGATCTAATAATTTTTTTTATTGAATTTGATGAACAAAAGAATATAAATAAATCACGAGACACTTAAAAAATTTCTCGAGGCAAAATTTACTACCGCACTGTGAGTATCAAATATTTTTTAAAATTTAAGTGTCTTGTGATTTATTTATATTCTTTTGTTCATCAAATTCAATAAAAAAAATTCTTAGTTCGTTGATATTTATTTTTTAGAAATAGCTCGAAAACATTTTAGGTACACTACTTTGAAAGTTAAAATAATTATGAGGGACCTTTAGAGATTAAAACATCGATTTGAAATTTTCAGAATCGAGATTTTTTTCAACCCAGAAAATGATAAAATAACGAGAAAAAAAAATTAAAAAAAATAAATTTTTTACGATTTTGGAAATTTTTTAAAATCTTGAGCGACCTCTAAAAAAATTTTTTTTGAGCTGATTTTTTGAGGGTGCTCTCAAAACATGATAAATTAATTGAGTGCTCAGACAATTAAAAGTTTATCAATAGTTACGCTGTATTTAAAATTGTATTACGAGCTAAAACTTTCCGTATATTTCTGTCACGAACTTGGAAAACGCCCTGTATTGAAATGTCGACACTTACGGCCAGATGTCCGCCAGTTTGTCCTTGGAGTCGGCGGGCAGCGGGGGCAGCTTGTAGTACTCGTAGATCAACCCCATCGTGGTGGACTGATCCTCGGCGCCGCCTCCAATGTTCAACATCGCGGTGGTGGCTGCCGTCAAAGGGTGCTCGTAGTAAGCTCTCCAAGTCTGCTGATCCTCGGGAGGGGCCGCCCCCTCGGGCAGCTCGGCCATACCACGTTGACCGACCACTGGTAAGTCGCTCGCCTGGTGTGAAGACGAGCCGGACGACTCCAAGTTATCTTTCCGCTTCCTGGAACAACAAGGGCAATACTGCAGTCTGGCAAAGATACGATTCGTGCGCGGAAGGAAAGTTACATTTAGAAAACGTAAAGGTTTTATATAACAAATGATACTTGCAGGCTATGGAACGCGAGTTTATTTTAAACAAACGATTATTTATTGTGGTCAAGTGAACTCGTTTATTCATTACTACCAAACGCAAGGTTGTAGGTACTAAAAAAATATTTGCAGTTAATATATCGTGTATAGGTGTTTTAAACAGTTTTGGGGGATACCAAGAATTTTTATAAAGCATTATTTTTAAAACTGCGCTTTAGTTTAGTTAATTTATTGATATATTAGTCCGCATTTCCCTTTTGTTGCCACGTTACCGCTCGGTAGATACGAGTGCTTGCCTCGACCCATTCGACCAGCTTTCCAGCGCTTACAAGTGGTTTTTCAAAAATCGGTTACAGTAACTTTTTTTAATTTTTCTTTGGCGTACTACATTTATTTACACAGTAGCACACCCACTTATTTATTTTTATTTCGTATAAGCTATGAACTAACCAGCATGCACATTAATAGGCCAGGAAAATAAGGTGGGAAATGACCATTTAGCGACTTTTTGTTTCGGCAAGCTGAATTTAATTTTTTAACATATTAGTTTCCACAGTCATAAAAATGGGGGGAAGATTGTTTACAGGTTGGTTAATTGTATAATTTTGACGTAAATTCACGTTTTTCGCTCATAACTTTTTCCGTTCATTTCCACGAGAAAACAGCAAAGTTTTTAGTCTTCAAAAGACCTACAAAACTATCCCTCGAGCGTCAAAAAATATTGATTAGATCAAAAGTTATAAACAAAAGAAGTTTATTTATGACTTTTGAATTAAACATTTATAAACTGCGTTATTATTACCAGAACATTGTGGCATCGCATCCTCTCATTCCTTATCACTGTCTAATAACTCACACGAAATCTGGAATCGATAAGTTGAATACTTTACAAGTTATGGCCTTATAAACAAATTAACTAATTATTAGTCTGGATGATCCCGAGCATCTTCCACAATCGCACTGATTTTTTTCATGGAAGATTTCATAATAATATATTGAAATCTATATATTTTTTTTAATTTCAAATTTGCAACCTGGAAAGTTTTTTATTTTTTAGCCTTAAGTTGCAAAATGAAATATACGACGCACGCGCGTGATATAGCTATATATTATATTTGGAAAGCATATGAAAAGAGTATTAAGTTAAAAAAAAATCGTCAAGATTCGTTGAAAAACAACGGAGTTACAGACTGTCAAAGTTGACGGCCTATTGTTAAACAAATTAGGTTGGTAGCGACAAAAAAAAATACTGTCATAACCGACAACCCGAGTACTTTCCCAGATAAAAATATTTTATTTGTGGAAGTATGTGAAGTGCATAAGAAATATTGTCAAAAGTCAGTGGGTCGCTTGATTTTCGGCGAGTCGTGGCGTGGCTGAAGGTGGGGGAATCGAACGACAGCGAGTCCGAAAAAATATTCATAGTCCTGCCTTTAAATAAGCGAAATTCGCTTGAAAATAATATATTTGAAAGTCCGTTGTTTTTCAACGAATCTCGACGATTTTTTTTTAACTTAAAGCTCTTTTCATAAACTTTCCGAATATGTAATAATATATAACTATATCACGCGCGAGCGTCGTATATTTCATTTTGCAACTAAGGCAAAAAAATAAAAAACTTTTCAGGTTGCAAATTTGAAATTAAAAAAAAAATGATAGATTTCAATGTATAAACGATGATGAAATCTACAATGAAAAAAATCAGTGCGATTGTGGAAGATGCTCGGGATCGTCCAGACTAATAATTAGTTAATTTGTTTATAAGATTTCGTGTGAGTTATTAGACAGTAATAAGGAATGAGAGGATGCGATGCCAAAACGTTCTGGTAATAAATAATAACGCAGTTTATAAATGTTTAAGTCAAAAGTCATAAATAAACTTATTCTGTTTATAACTTTTGATCTAATCAATATTTTTTGACGCTCGAGGGCTAGTTTTGTAGGTCTTTTGAAGACGAAAAAAAAAGTATTTTACTGTTTTTTCGTGGAAATGAACGGAAAAAGTTATAAGCGAAAAACATGAATTTACGTAAAAATTATACAATTAACCACACTGTAAACAATCATCCCCTACATTTTTATGACTGTGGAAACTAATATGTTATTGTACATAATATTTAGCATCTATAGTGATAAATTCAGCTTGCCGAAACAAAAAGTCCCAGCTTTTTTCCTGGCCTATTTATGTAAAGGCGACTGAGCCACATGCACACCTGGGTATTTTTCAATGAAATCTTGAATTACTTGGCGATAACTGTTATCACCCTTACCGTAACACTGTATCTGATATATTTTTTGCTGTAAAGTTAACATTTATCCGATAATAATTAATTACTGTTGGGGGTTTTAACGAAATATGTTATTTTATTCTATTTGAAATAAAAATAGAATTAAAGTAGGCTAATTTTGCCACAAATTGGAATTATGTCGTTTCTTTTAATTTGGAGCAACTTTTCTTAGTGACACTTTTCAGAAATATTAAAAGTAAAGGTAGTTTACTCTCGTGACATTTTCAGATTTTTTTATTTTCTGAACACCCCGTACATGAAATGTCAAGTTTCACCATGGCAACCTCATTTTAAATTCAAGCAAAACTTTCTATCAAGTGTGCCTTTTTTCCGTAAAATGTGAAATAAAAAAGTTTTTCCTCTTATTCACCCTAACGGCGGACATACTGTATTTCTATTATTTAACAAATATGCAAAAAAATGAAGGATAGTACCTATTTCTCATCTTTCCATTGGAAATCTCGTTTTTGAGCTACAGGGCGTTTTTTTTAAATAATTGTCTAATATTTTTTTATTTGTTTGTGCCATTTTTGAAATGTTTACATCTCGGAAGGTTTTCTCCTCTCATTCTCAAAACTATATATTTTTTTGTGTAAAATTGAAAAAAAAAAGGTTTGAGAACGAAAAAGAAATCTTTTTCACTAAACCAGTTTAATCTTTTGATTTCATTTCATTAGCAAAACACAATGTCGTTTTTATGTTAAATTAAAAGTACCTATCTACAACTTTTGTCGACACTGGACTGATAGTTACAAATAAGGACTAGTAGCTGATCAGTACCTATAAAATAAAAGTTTTTGTAGTCTAATGTAATAATAAATAAAAACGGTAAGTGCTCGGCTACTTGCGCAAATAATACATATTAACTAGGTGACTTAAGACACAGAAACAGGTTTATAATGAATTTATAACAGCACCAGAGGGTGTATCTGGTAAAGGTTTCAATTGAACACAATAGCGTTGGGAAATAGACATTTTCATTTTAATTTAGTGAACGCAAATATTGCGACAATACGGGCTGCTGCAGGGTACTATCGGGCTCAAAATTCACGCAAGTTTTGAATTTCGCGCACACGAAAGGACAACGCGTTTTCATTGTTGAGCAGCACTTTAAAAATAATGAAGGTTTGGCATCTACAGTTCGTACAGTTTCGTACAAAATATTGTCGGAATAGCGATTTAACTTCATCAACTGTGAAGAGATTAATTGAAAAATTGAGGGAGACTGGATTAATTAGTCATCTTAAACACTCTAGCCGTTCAACACACAACATCGAAGCAGTCCGTGAGAGTGTTGCTGAGAGTCCAGGAACATCAATTTGGCACCGTTGTCAAAAATTTGACGTTTCGAGAAGCTCTCTACAGTGTATTCTCACGAAAGCTTTGCATCTTCGTGCTTATAAAGTTCAATTCACTCAAGAACTCAAGCCTATTGACCACGCAAAGCGAAGAGAGTTCGTTGAATGGATTATGGAACAAATGGATGCTGATTTTTCGAACAAAATCATCTTCAGGGATGGTTCAGAAAATCCACGAGTGATTGTTGAGAAACAAATGCATCCATGTTTGATGCTGATTTTGGGCTGGAGGCAATCGCGACATGATAATCCAGTTTTTTTACGCCTAAATTGCAAGATACGGATGTAGACGACATGTGGATTCAACAAGACGGTGCAGCATGCCTACAACCCGAGAAATAATTCAATTTTATAGAAACATGTTTTATATTGTTATTGTATATTAATGTATCGTTTGTTTAATACAAAATTGAATAGTTATGGTCAAATGATTTATATACTTATTTTAAGAATATATTTGGATATGAATATTTCTCAGTAATAAAAAATATTTTGTTTCAACCTCACAACACCTAGTACAACAGGCTAGGATCGTTCGCAAGTTTAACCTGTTTAACCAACCGGACATACATAGGTCGGTTTGGGACTTACTGATGGTTCTCATCATTATGTTGTTACAATGATCCAGCTGCTTTAATGTCGTTAGTCACAAGGAGATGTGTATACATAGAGCGTAAGTGGCTTCATCTATCCTGCTACTTCCCCCCTACACCATTCTGTGACCTGCTACAATTTTCTTTCAAAAAAACATAAGTTTGATTATAATATGCTACATTTGTCTTGAATAACTCCTACATTAATACTAAATTTTAAAAATATACAGGGTGTTCCTAAATAAGTGTCGCAACGGAAAACTGTCTCCGGGCTTTCGTTTTCGAGATACACGGTGTCAAAACTTTTTTTCAGATTTTTACCAATACCTTAGGAACCGTTTGAACTACAGGACTGAGCTTGTACACACATTACCACTATTAATAGCTACTTGTTGCAAGTGTTGTTAAATTTCGTTAAACTTGTTAATTATTACTATCTATCTTTTGAATTACAAAAGATTTTTGAAACGTTAGCAAAATGTTTGTTTTTGTTCATAAAAAGTAATTTTTCTTGAAAACGGTTGACTTTAGAGCAATGAACCAAGAGAACTCTTTTTGTGTAAAATTCATTGGAGCTTCAGATTTTGCTGTCAAATGTCAATTTTTCCAGTGGCGTAAAAGTTAGAGGGGAAAAACCTTTACGATACCTTAAAATCTC